TCAACGTCTCTGATTGTAAACTTTCCCAAATTGTATCCATTGTTTCGTGTTTCATTTTGGGTTGATATATTTACACCCAATTACCTCCCCCCCCCCTTGTTATCCTCAGTGTGTGGGCGTTGTTGCCAGGAACAGAACCTGACCAAGATACCTGGACCCTACCTGGAGAGGGTTTCGCGAGTTGTTCTATTTCCCGAGCCCGGCCTGAGGCCATCTTGAGGTTATCTTGAGATGATTTCGTGGCTTAGTGTCCCCGCGGCCCGGTCCTCGATCAGGCCTCCAACCCCAGGAAGCAGCTGTCTAACTCTCAGGTACCTATTTACTGCTAGGTAACAGGGGCATCAGGGTCAAAGAAACATTCTGCTCATTTGTCTCCGCCTCCACCGGGGATCGAACCCGGAACCTCAGGACTACGAATCCGAAGCGCTGTCCATCCAGCTGACAGGCGCCCCGGCCAGCCTCAACTTGTGATAACTTGGTCCAACAGGCTGTTGCTTAGAGCAATATCCACTACAGCCTGGTTGGTCTGGTACTTCTTGCAAGAACTTATCCAAGTGCCTCTTGAAGACCTTCACCTTTGTTGTTCTGACAATATTTCTAATGCTTGCTGGGAGAGTAATGAACAGCTGCGGGCCTCTGATGTTCAGTGTTCTCTGACCACAGATCACTTTGTGTAGTAGGCCTACTGTAGTGCCAAGCTGCTTATGACAACACAAGGTGATCAGTGTTACACTGCACAGAGCAGTATCTGGCACCAGCGCTCCCCACCTCCCTCCACCGAGGGCTCAACCCTTCATGGCCGCTCATATTCTTATCAGTACGGCTAGAGTTGTTTAGGTTATGTGCCGTCAGTGTGAGATGTGAGAGTGTGCAGGAGACCAGCCAAGATTACTGGCCGAGCCTGGCCACACCTCACCCTCCCCACCACTCACAATACCCCTCACCTCACCACACTACACAATACCCTCACCTCACCACACTACACAATACCCCTCACCTCACCACACTACACAATACCCTCACCTCACCACACTACACAATACCCTCACCTCACCACACTACACAATACCCCTCACCTCACCACACTACACAATACCCCTCACCTCACCACACTACACAATACCCTCACCTCACCACACTACACAATACCCCTCACCTCACCACACTACACACTACCCTCACCCTCGCCACCACTCACAATACCCCTCACCTCACCACACTACACACTTACCCTCACCCTCGCCACCACTCACAATACCCCTCACCTCACCACACTACACAATACCCTCACCTCACCACACTACACAATACCCTCACCTCACCACACTACACAATACCCCTCACCTCACCACACTACACAATACCCCTCACCTCACCACACTACACAATACCCTCACCTCACCACACTACACAATACCCCTCACCTCACCACACTACACACTACCCTCACCCTCGCCACCACTCACAATACCCCTCACCTCACCACACTACACAATACCCTCACCTCACCACACTACACAATACCCCTCACCTCACCACACTACACAATACCCTCACCTCACCACACTACACAATACCCTCACCTCACCACACTACACAATACCCCTCACCTCACCACACTACACAATACCCCTCACCTCACCACACTACACAATACCCTCACCTCACCACACTACACAATACCCCTCACCTCACCACACTACACACTACCCTCACCCTCGCCACCACTCACAATACCCCTCACCTCACCACACTACACACTACCCTCACCCTCGCCACCACTCACAATACCCCTCACCTCACCACACTACACAATACCCTCACCTCACCACACTACACAATACCCCTCACCTCACCACACTACACAATACCCTCACCTTACCACACTACACATGTTACTTTCCCTCACCACACCACGCCACACAACACCACACCCTCACATCACAATACTACACAGCACTCTCACCACACAATACAACAATACTGTCAAACTCCCAGGTGCCTATTTACTGCTAGGTAACAGGAGCATCAGGATGAAAGAAACATTTTGCTCATTTGTTTCCGCCTCCACCGGGGATCGAACCCGGAACCTCAGAACTACGAATCCGAAGCGCTGTCCACCCAGCTGTCAGGCACCATTACAAGACCCTCTCCACACCGTACACAATACCCTCACCACACCCCCACCCCCCACCCACCTAGGGCATACCTGGAGGGGGTTCTGGGAGCTCTACTCCCGAGCCCGGCCTGAGGTCAGGCTCGAGTTTTGTCTCTTTGTCAATGACTGAAGACATTGAAAAACTACAAGCAGATAATAACAAAGTTTTCGATTACGCAGCAGAAAATAACATGATGATTAACAGTGATAAATTCCAGGTACTCAGGTACGGCAAGAATGAGGATCTGAAACATAATACAGGGTACAAAACACAATCGATTCTGCCAATAGTAGGAAAACAGCATGTCAAGGATTTGGGAATAATGATGTCCGACGACCTAACGTTTAGGGAACATAACCAAGCAAATATTGCGTCAGCCAGAAAAATGATAGGATGGATTACGAGAACTTTCAAATCCAGGGATCCCATCACAATGGTTGTACTCTTCAAGTCACTTGTGTTGTCCCGTCTTGAGTACTGTTCAGTACTCACTTCCCCCTTCAGAGCAGGAGAGATTGCTGAAATAGAGGGAATACAGAGAACATATACGGCACGCATAGACACGATAAAGCACCTAAATTATTGGGATCGTCTCAAAGCTCTCCAAATGTACTCGCTAGAAAGGAGACGAGAGAGATACCAAATAATATACACGTGGAAGATACTGGAGGGACAGGTCCTAAATCTGCACAGTAAATAACAACGTACTGGAGTGAACGATATGGAAGAAAATGCAGAATAGACCCAGTGAAGAGCAGATGTGCCATAGGCACAATCAGAGAACACTGTATAAACATCAGAGGTTCGCAGTGGTTCAACGTCCTACCAGCGACTATAAGAAATATTGCCGTAACAACCGTGGACATCTTCAAGAGAAAACTAGATTGTTTTCTAAAAAACAGTGCCAGACCATCCGGCCTGTGGTAGGTATGTGGGCCTGCGGGCCGCTCCAAGCAACAGCCTGGTGGACCAAACTCTCACAAGTCAAGCCTGGCCTCGGGCCGGGCTTGGGGAGTAGAAGACCTCCCAGAACCCCATCAAGCAGGTATCAGTGTTTCGTTAAGTTCCTAGTTTCCACCATAACTAAGTACCGGGAAGTTATCAATGATAAACATATTATTTTCAGTTGCCCAATCCAAGATTTTATTTATATCTGCCTGTAGTTTTTCAGTGTTTCCTACAATGGCAATTTTTCATGCAGATTTTTGTATCATCTGCAAAGGATGACACGAAGCTGTGACTATCATTTTTGTCTATATTCGACATAAGAATAAAACATAGCAGGGGTGCCAGGACTGTGCCCTGGGGTACAGAGTTTTCTCACTGAACTTGGGCATGATCTTACTTGATTGACCATCACTCTCTGCATTCTTTTTGACAAAGTTTAAAATCCAATGCCCCACTTTACTCGTTATTCCTATTTATCTCATTTTATGGACTATCACTCCATGGTTACATTTATCGAAAGCCTTTGCAAAGTCTGTGTATACACCTGCATTTTGGTTTTCTTCTAAGGCTTATGTGATTTTGTCATAGTGATTGAATAACTGTGACAGACAGGATATTCCCGCTCTAAATCCATGTTGTGCTGGGTTGTGAAGTTCACTATTTTCCATAACACTGGAAATTTGATTCCTAATCACTCTTTCAAAGACTTATTATGTGTGTAGATAATGTAACTGGTCTGTAATTTTTTGCCAGAGCTTTACTACCCCCCTTGTGCAGAGGAGCTATATCTGCAGATTTAAGTGCAGCTGGTACCTCCCCTGTATCCAGGCTCTTTCTCCATATTACTTACCATATTCTCATATATTACCATATTCTCCATATACCATATATATATTCTCCATATACCATATATATTCTCCATATATACCATTACCATATTCTCCATATTACACTATTGGCACTTTACATTTGTTTATGAATATTGCATTCCATGAGTCAGGCCCAGAGTGCATGGGCATGTTGTCAATTTCTCTTTGAAAGTCATATGAGTTCGTGTTAGTTACGGTTATATTATCTGGATCACCACACCACACAACACCACACTGCTCAACATTCTCACCGCACCACACTACATATGTTGCTTTCCCTCACCACACCCTCACCTCACCACACGAAACCACACAACACAACACCCCTACCTCACCACACCATACAAACCTTCAACATACCACACAACATCCCCACCTCACCACACTCCTCACCACACCACACAACACTTTCACATCACCACACCATAAAACACCCTCACCTCACTACATCATACAACACCCTTACCTAACCATACAACACAACACCCCCCACCTCACCACACCGCACAGCACCACACCTGACAAACAACTTCACCACATCACACCTCTACCTCACCACACCACACAACACCCTCACCCCACCACACAACACAACACCGTCGCCACACCACACAACACCGTCGCCACACCACACAGCACCCTCCCCACATCACACCGTCGCCACACCACACCACACCGTCGCCACACCACACAACACCGTCGCCACATCACACAACACCGTCGCCACACCACACCACACCGTCGCCACACCACACCGTCGCCACACCACACAACACCGTCGCCACACCTCACCACACCGTCTCCACACCACACAACACTACACCGTCGCCACACCACATAACACTCTCACCACACCACAGATCACCACACGACGCCACACCTCACCACGTCACACCACACGACGCCACACCACAGATCACCACACAACACTACACCGTCGCCACACAACACCCTCACCACACCACACGACGCCACACCACAGATCACCACACAACACTACACCGTCGCTACACAACACCCTCACCACACCACTGATCACCACACGACGCCACACCTCACCACACCACTGATCACCACACGACGCCACACGTACCTGTTGGCGCGCGAGAGTGAACCAGGTCTTGAGGACGAGATCCAGCCTGGTCTTGTGGAAGGCCTTGGTGGTCTTGATGCTGATGAAGAGGTGGTCGAGGGTGGTGGTGGGCTTGGCCGTAGCCGTGGCCACCAGGGTGTTCAGCAGCCCTCTCTTCCTCTCCTCTTCCTCCTCCTCCCTCACGCCGGGCTCAGGCTCCTGCACCGGCTCCTCCCCCACCAGGGTGTTCTCCACTCCCGCCGGCAGTTCATAGTCTCTGTTGAGGGACCTGGGGGCTCTGTCGGGCCATGCGTGCAGGACAGGAAATTTCTGGGCGGCAGCAGTGGCCCTCTCGGACCTGGCCGCGTCCCGAAGGCCCTGAGCTAAATTTTGGAAGACCAAGACACAAACAGTGACTGCGGCACACCCTAGACCCACTTGCTGCAGCAGACTGCGGAGCTTCACCCTCATTGTCCTCTCCTGCGGCCGCATCACATCGGGTCCATCGCGCACTCCCACACACTGATCGCGAACTGGGCAGGTAATTCACAGAGCATGACAGACAAGCGACGCTGCACAACCTCTCCCACACACGCCGCGATAGAAACTGACATCACATTTCGTCTCCAACCCTGTTGCTCCAGCCTCGCGCGCAGTTGCCAACCAATGTTATTTAATTTTCTCCTGGAAACCCAATAAACATTTCCGCTCTTTATTCAATAGACTTATACTCAACTCTTAAGCACTTATATTCAACTCTTCTAAATAATGATAACTATAAGATGTGAGAAAACAGCGACATGGTCTTAATTAATCGTGAAACAAACTCGTGAAAATGTGACTGATAAGGGTGTTGCCATAATGTGGTCAGTGCCGTTCCAGGGGACATAAACATACATGTATTCCATTCAGTTACAAAGTGAAATGTATTAAATAATGTGTTTTGTGTGGTTGTTTTGTGTGGTTGTGTTGTGTTTTGTGTAGTTGTTTTGTGTTATGTGTTGTGCTTTGTGTGGTTGTTTTGTGTGGTTGTGTTGTGTTTTGTGTGGTTGTTTTGTGTTATGTGTTGTGTTTTGTGTGGTTGTGTTGTGTTTTGTGTGGTTGTTTTGTGTTATGTGTTGTGCTTTGTGTGGTTGTGTTGTGTTTTGTGTGGTTGTGTTGTGTTTTGTGTGGTTGTGTTGTGCTTTGTGTGGTTGTTTTGTGTGGTTGTGTTGTGTTTTGTGTGGTTGTTTTGTGTTATGTGTTGTGCTTTGTGTGGTTGTGTTGTGTTTTGTGTGGTTGTGTTGTGCTTTGTGTGGTTGTGTTGTGCTTTGTGTGGTTGTGTTGTGTTTTGTGTGGTTGTGTTGTGCTTTGTGTGGTTGTGTTGTGTTTTGTGTAGTTGTTTTGTGTTATGTGTTGTGCTTTGTGTGGTTGTGTTGTGTTTTGTGTGGTTGTGTTGTGTTTTGTGTGGTTGTGTTGTGTTTTGTGTGGTTGTGTTGTGTTTTGTGTGGTTGTGTTGTGTTTTGTGTGGTTGTGTTGTGTTTTGTGTGGTTATGTTGTGTTTTGTGTGGTTGTGTTGTGTTTTGTGTGGTTATGTGTGTTTTGTGTTTTGTGTGGTTGTGTTGTGTTTTGTGTGGTTGTTTGTGTTGTGTGTTGTGTTTTGTGTGGTTGTGTTGTGTTTTGTGTGGTTGTTTTTGTGTGTTGTATTTGTGTGTGTTTTTGTGTGGTTGTGTTTGTGTTGTGTTTTGTGTTTGTGTGGTTGTGTGTGTGTTATGTGTTGTGTGTTTGTGTGGTTGTGTTGTGTTTTGTGTGTTGTGTGTGTTTTGTGTGGTTGTGTTGTGTTTTGTGTGGTTGTGGTTGTGTTGTGTTTGTGTGGTTGTGTTGTGTTTTGTGTGGTTGTGTTGTGTTTTGTGTGGTTGTTGTTGTGTTTGTGTGGTTGTGTTGTGTTTTGTGTGGTTGTGTTGTGTTTTGTGTGGTTGTGTTGTGTTTTGTGTGGTTGTGTTTTGTGTGGTTTGTTGTGTGGTGTGTGTTGTGTTTTGTGTGGTTATGTTGTGTTTGTGTGTTGTGTTGTGTTTTGTGTGGTTGTGTTGTTGTGTTGTGTGGTTGTGTTGTGTTTTGTGTGGTTGTGTTGTGTGTTGTGGTTTGTTGTGTTTTGTGGTTGTGTTGTGTTTTGTGTGGTTGTGTTGTGTTTTGTGTGGTTGTGTTGTGTTTTGTGTGGTTGTGTTGTGTTTGTGTGGTTGTGTTGTGTTTTGTGTGGTTGTGTTGTGTTTTGTGTGGTTGTGTTGTGTTTTGTGTGGTTGTGTTGTGTTTTGTGTGGTTGTGTTGTGTTTTGTGTGGTTGTGTTGTGTTTTGTGTGGTTGTGTTGTGTTTTGTGTGGTTGTGTTGTGTTTTGTGTGGTTGTGTTGTGTTTTGTGTGGTTGTGTTGTGTTTTTGTGTGGTTGGTGTTGTGTTTTGTGTGGTTGTGTTGTGTTTTGTGTGGTTGTGTTGTGTTTTGTGTGGTTGTGTTGTGTTTTGTGTGGTTGTGTTGTGTTTTGTGTGGTTGTGTTGTGTGTTTGTGTGGTTGTGTTGTGTTTTGTGTGGTTGTGTTGTGTTTTGTGTGGTTGTGTTGTGTTTTGTGGTGGTTGTGTTTTGTGTTGTGTTTGTGTTTTGTGTGGTTGTGTTGTGTTTTGTGTGGTTGTGTTGTGTTTTGTGTGGTTGTGTTGTGTTTTGTGTGGTTGTGTTGTGTTTTGTGTGGTTGTGTTGTGTTTTGTGTGGTTGTGTTGTGTTTTGTGTGTGTTGTGTTGTGTTGTTTGTGTGGTTGTGTTGTGTTTTTGTGTGGTTGTGTTGTGTTTTGTGTGTGTTGGTGTTGTGTTGTGTGTGTGTTTTGTGTGGTTGTGTTGTGTTTTGTGTGGTTGTGTTGTGTTTTGTGTGGTGGTTGTGTTGTGTGGTTGTGTGGTTTTGTGTGGCTGTGTTGTTTTGTGTGGTTGTGTTGTGTTTTGTGTGGTTGTGTTGTGTTTTGTTTGTGTGGTGTGTGTTGTGTGTGTTTTTGTGTGGTTGTGTGTGTTTTGTGTGGTTGTGTGTGTTTTGTGTGGTTATGTTGTGTTTTGTGTGTGTTGTGTTGTGTTTTGTGTGGTTGTGTGTGTTTTGTGTGGTTGTGTTGTGTTTTGTGTGGTTGTGTTGTGTTTTGTGTGGTTGTGTTGTGTTTTGTGGTGGTTGTGTTGTGTTTTGTGTGGTTGTGTTGTGTTTTGTGTGTGTTGTGTTGTGTGTTTGTGTGGTTGTGTTGTGTTTTGTGTTGTGTTTTGTGTTTGTGTTGTGTTTTGTGTGGTTGTGTTGTGTGTGTGGTTGTGTTGTGTGTGTTTGTGTTTGTGTTTTGTGTGTGGTTGTGTTGTGTTTTGTGTGGTTGTGTTGTGTTTTGTGTGGTTGTGTTGTGTTTGTGTGTGTGGTGTGTGTTTGTGTTTGTGTGTGGTTGTGTTGTGTTTTGTGTGTGGTTGTGTTGTGTTTTGTGTGGTTGTGTTGTGTTTTGTGTGGTTGTGTTGTGTTTGTGTGGTTGTGTTTGTTTTGTGTGGTTGTGTTGTGTTTTGTGTGGTTGTGTTGTGTTTTGTGTGGTTGTGTTGTGTTTTTTTGTGTGGTTGTGTTGTGTTTTGTGTGGTTGTGTGTGTGTGGTTGTGTGTGTTGTGTTGTTGTTTGGTTAATGTGTGGTTGTGTTGTGTTTTGTGTGGTTGTGTTGTGTTTTGTGTGTGTTGTGGTTGTGTTTTGTGTGTGTTTTGTGTGGTGTGTGTTTTGTGTGGTTGTGTGTTTTGTGTTTTGTGTGGTTGTGTTTGTGTGTGTGTTGTGTTGTGTTTTGTGTGGTTGTGTTGTGTTTTGTGTGTGTTTGTGTTGTGTTTTGTGTGGTTGTGTTGTGTTTTGTGTGGTTGTGTTGTGTTTTGTGTGGTTGTGTTGTGTTTTGTGTGGTTGTGTTGTGTTTTGTGTGGTTGTGTTGTGTGTTTGTGTGGTTGTGTTGTGTTTGTGGTGTGTTGTGTTTTGTGTGTTGTGTGTTTGTGTTTTGTGTTGTGTGTGTTTTTGTGTGTGTTTTGTGTGTGTGTGTTTTGTGTTTTGTTGTGTTTGTGTTTGTTGTGTTTTGTGTGGTTGTGTTGTGTTTTGTGTGGTTATGTTGTGTTTTGTGTGGTTGTTTGTGTTTTGTGTGTTGTGTTGTGTTTTGTGTGGTTGTGTTGTGTGGTGTGGTGTTGTGTTTTGTGTGGTTTGTGTTTGTGTGGTTGTGTTGTGTTTTGTGTGGTGTGTTGTGTTTGTTTTGTGTTGTTGTGTTTTGTGTGGTTATGTTGTGTTTTGTGTGGTTGTGTTGTGTTTTGTGTGGTTGTGTTGTGTTTGTGTGGTTGTGTTGTGTTTTGTGTGGTTGTGTTGTGTGTGTGGTTGTGTTGTGTTTTGTGTGTGTGTTGTGTGTTTTGTGTGGTTGTGTTGTGTTTGTGTGGTTGTGTTGTGTGTGTGGTTGTGTTGTGTTGTGTGGTGTGTTGTGTTTTGTGTGGTTGTGTTGTGTTTTGTGTGGTTGTGTTGTGTTTTGTGTGGTTGTGTTGTGTTTTGTGTGGTTGTGTTGTGTGTTTGTGTGTGTTGTGTTTGTGTTTTCTGTGGTTGTGTTGTGTTTTGTGTGGTTGTGTTGTGTTTTGTGTGTGTGTGTGTGTTGTTTTGTGTGGTTGTGTTGTGTTTTGTGTGGTTGTGTTGTGTTTTGTGTGGTTGTGTTGTGTTTTGTGTGGTTGTGTTGTGTTTTGTGTGGTTGTGTTGTGTTTTGTGTGGTTGTGTTGTGTTTTGTGTGGTTGTGTTGTGTTTTGTGTGGTTGTGTTGTGTTTTGTGTGGTTGTGTTGTGTTTTGTGTGGTTGTGTTGTGTGTTGTGTTTGTGTGGTTGTGTTGTGTTTTGTGTGGTTGTGTTGTGTTTTGTGTGGTTTGTGTGTGGTTGTGTTGTGTTGTGTTGTTGTTTTGTGTGGTTGTGTTGTGTTTTGTGTGGTTGTGTTGTGTTTTGTGTGGTGTTGTTGTGTTTGTGTGTTGTGTTGTTGTGTGTGGTTGTGTTGTGTTTTGTGTGGTTGTGTTGTGTTTTGTGTGGTTGTGTTGTGTTTTGTGTGTGTGTGTTTTGTGTGTTGTGTTGTGTGTGTTGTGTTGTGTGTGTTGTGTGTGTTTTGTGTGGTTGTGTTGTGTTTTGTGTGTTGTGTTGTGGGTTGTGTGGTTGTGTGTGTTTTGTGTGGTTGTGTTGTGTTTTGTGTGGTTGTGTTGTGTGTTGTGTGTGTTGTGTTTTGTGTGGTTGTGTTGTGTTTTGTGTGGTTGTGTTGTGTGTTGTGTGGTTGTGTTGTGTTTTGTGTGGTTGTGTTGTGTTTTGTGTGGTTGTGTTGTGTTTTGTGTGGTTGTGTTGTGTTTTGTGTGGTTGTGTTGTGTTTTGTGTGTTGTGTTGTGTTTTGTGTGGTTGTGTTGTGTTTGTTGTGTGTGTGGTTGTGTTGTGTTTTGTGTGGTGTGTGTGTTGTGTTTTGTGTGGTTGTGTTGTGTTTTGTGTGGTTGTGTTGTGTTTTGTGTGGTTGTGTTGTGTTTTGTGTGGTTGTGTTGTGTTTTGTGTGGTTGTGTTGTGTTTTGTGTGGTTGTGTTGTGTTTTGTGTGGTTGTGTTTGTGTTGTG